TCTGAAAGGGAGAGTCAGTTCCCATGTGCTGGATCACTCCCCAAATGCCCACAGCAGCTGCAGACTCCTGCAGCTTGGACAGGGAACTCAATTCAGGTTCCCACATGGGTGGCTGGCACCCAACTACTACAGACATCGTTCCTCTGGGGTGTGCATTAGCAAGTCACTGGAACTGGGAGAAGAAGCCAAGAAGCTAACCGTGGAATAGAAGTGGTCACAGGGACACTGCTGGGGTTGGGATGGGGGTGTCATAACCACTAGGCTAGCCACCCCTGGTATTTTTGATGTTTTAACTTTTCACAGAAGAACCCGAGAAGTTCCACAAGTGATTAACATCACAGCCAGATAGCAACAAAGACACATATTCAAACAAATGAAGAAAACCAGGTTCCCTTATGAACCTGGTGAACTTCCTGATAACACAGAATACATTGACTTCCTCATCTTCGTATCTGAGAGATTTCTTCTGATGAAGTGCTATGGGAATTCGACTCAGGAAACGGGTCATTTACTGTATGTATCATTCTCTCCCCACGGAAAGACGTCCTTCTTGGAACAAATGATGCATTTTTACACACACATACACACACACACACTTAAAAAAAACTGAAGGACATTCAATGTGTCCCACTGTGAACATAATTTCTTACTAAAAGATCAGGAGGCCCTAAATCATCACCTTTCCTAAATCCACTCCTTTCAAGCCACTGCACTCTGCTTTGTTCCTTTTTTAACACTCCTTGCTTACTGTTCTTACACACGTCCACCTGTTCACTGCCATATGATTGCCAAAAAACATCTTTATTTTTTGCTAGAGCCAGTTCTGATATAATACCAAGAACATGACTGGGCTATCATTTTAGAACCATATCATTCTTTTTTATCTAATGTTTATAAAAGTATTGAGGGAAAACAGGCTTTGGTTTGGAATTCTAAACTAGGGACCAGCGTTGTGGCATAGCAAGCTGAGCTGCTGCTTGCAAGGTTGCAGCCTGTATTTGATCCACCTCCCTGAAAATGTGCCCGAGAAAGTAGTGGAAGATTTTTCCTAAATACCTGGAACGCTATACCCATTTTGGAGACCTAGAGGAAGCTCCTTGCCCCTGGCTTCTGCCTAGCCCAGCTTTGGTTGCTTTGGCCTTTGAGGAGTGAATCAGTGGATGGAAAATTTTTCTTTGTCTCCCTTTCCCTATAACTCTTTTAAAAATACTTCATCACTGAAACTGCAACTCTGGCTTTCCAACCACTTTTGTTCTCTCTTAATTTTAGGGTAATATTGAGGTTAGACTTCAGAAATCATTACATGTATATTTCAATACTTACTATAAATATCTGGAATATACTAAGATATATTCATATATACACAATATCTTAGACTGGCATTAAAATTCTGCACTAATAATCTGGGTAAGTAAATATTCTAATTGATCGCTTATTTGATGATATGCACTTGGATTTATTTATATGTAACAAAAAAACATCTAATTTTTGTTCCTTTCAGCTATCTAGTATAATATCAGTCCTCTTAATATTTAATTTTGATTTTTATTCTTAACATAATCCCCTAGGAACGCTACCAATATTGGTTGATTTAATATGCTTTTGCTTTTTAAAAATCACCTTGAGGGCATCAAAATTAAAAATAAACACAATTCCCTCACCTGGGAACACCACCAAAGCTGCGCTGAAGGCGGGGGAGCGGCTCCCGCTGGGCGGGAAGGCAGCACGGCACAGGGCGGCCCTCCCGGGGCAGCCCAGCAAGCTCCGCACGAAGTTTCCCAGAATTGATTTTGTAAAAGCTCTTCCAGTTAAGCCAAATGCAACTCAACAGAGGTAAGACAACAGTGAGCTAGAAGGACATGGTTAAACAGATGCTTTCTGGGCTCACTTACCCAAGGGATGGTTTTTAGATTTTTTTTTAGAGGCACTAGTGGTCTTCCAAATTCTTTTGAACATACGCCTCTATTATTAAAAAAAGAAAAAAGTAAAAAGGTTCATATACCCTGCATATGATTACATGTCCATAAACTATAAAATTACTGTGTTTCTGTTTGTATATGAGGAAAAATTCCAAAGGATGAAGTAACAGTAAGCATTTATAGAAGTTCTTTTGTTTTCTTCCTACATTCCAGTGCTGCATTTTATGAATCCTTTTGGAATGATTAACTCCATTTTAGAACCTGCAGTTACCATGAGATGCCACTCTTCCACTAATGTGTCCCCATGCCCTCTGCCCTCAACTAAACTCTGAAGCAAACATTGGGCAACACGACTTCAAGGTTATTTCTCTGACAAATACCTGGAGGGTAGCTATGCAACTGTTCAGTGTGGACCTCATACTCCCATGGATAGTCAGGTGGGGAGTTCATGTGAGCTGAGTAACTTGACAAGGACACACATTTGGCTAGATGTCTGTAATTCCTCTACACGGGCAGACTTGGATGGCCCAAGAACTACACAGAGGCAATGTATGAAGCAGGCCTCATAGTTCTGGGCCGTAAGTCAGAGAAACAATACTCAAATTAATAATATATATCTACATAAAAATATAACTTTTAAAAAAACACAAGATTTATTATTTACTTGAGAAGCGGAGTCACTGAGAAAAAGGGAAATCTTGTGCGCGTTGGTTCAGTCTCCAAATGCTTGCAAAGGGCAGAACTGGTTCAGGGGCAAGCCGGGCCTACAACTCCAGCCTGGAGTCCCAGGCAGGTGGCGGGAGCCCAAATATTGCTCAGGCCAGCCTCTGCTGCTTTCCCAGGCAAACTAGCAGGGAGCTGGAATGGAAGAGGAGCAGCCAGGACTTGAACCGTGCCTCACAGGTGGTAGCTGAACTTGCTCTCAACTAGGGCAGCCCCAGAAACATTCTTGTTACCAGTCAAGACAGATTTGTCAGTCATAAAGACTCAAAATTTAGAAATCAGTAATGCATCGTTTGCAACTACTAGCATTTTTAGCATATCATTTAAGAATGTCTTAATATGAATCTAGTCTAATATGTAAACAGTGATTCAGTAACACTTATGTAAAATAGTATGCAAAGCTCTTAAATAGAGCTGGGTGCAGTAGCTTAGTTGGTTCAAGTCCTCACCTTGCGCGTGCTGGGATCCCGTATGGGTGCCCACGAGTGTCCCATGCGGGTGCAGGGTCCCAAGGCTTTGGGCCTTCCTCTGCTGCTTTCCTAGGTCACAAGCAGGGAGCTGGATGGAAAGTGGAAGAGCCAGGACATGAACCAGCACCTGTATGGGCTCCCAGCACTTACAAGGGGAGGATTAGCCATTTGAGTCATCGCACCTGCCCACAACCTTTCAATCTTAAATACATTTACACTGAGAGGTGCCCTGCCCTGCATATTGTTCCAAAGCTTATGTGGGAAAAAACTGCATTTGTTGACAGCCTAAGTGTGAGCACTGTGCCACACGTGTCACGGACTCAGTCTCTCTCCGGCAACAGGCCTGCAGAGGTAACCTTTATTAGCTCCATTTTCTAGGCAGCAAAACCCAGACTTGGGAACTTAAGGTCAAGGTCACATGGTTAAGACTCAGGCTAGGTCTGCTTGTTTTCTATGCCTGTGCTCTGTCCATCACACCGAAAAGGTGCTAAAATAACCAAGCCAATTCAGTTTATCCCCATGAAATGCATAATCCAGTGGCCACTCCTGATGCTGAACCAAGTATTATATGCAACAATTACAGCAGCTAAAAGCAAAGGCTTTGCAATAGATCAGGCGAGGTTCATTCCCCGTTCTGTGTTGTGTAAATTCGCTCCTCCTCCACCCCACCTTTATCCTTAACGCAAAGCTTAGGAGTCAGAGCTGACGACACAGAATTCAGAAGACTCCTAGACTCTGCAGTGTCTAATTACGGCAGCACTGCCCAACCCTCCCTCCTGAACATCTTTGCCACAAAACAACACACAGCCCCCAAAAATCGACTGCTAAAAACCAAACCACTCCCCAAGAGTAAATAAGGCAAATAAACTTGGTCCAGTTTCATAGTGGATTTCACATGCAGTAAGCAGTACTAAGGGTTAAATTAAAGTGAGATCTGAAGGTGTCGCTCACTCCATTATCTAACAGGAAATCAGGTTCAGTAACTAGAACTGCAGCTGCAGTCAGAACGGGGAGGGGCAGTACACATATTCTAAGGACGCCAACTGCAGAACGCGGACCGACCACGGAAGGAGGGAAAGCCACTTTTATGACGGAGCCGGGGTTGGGTGGGGTGAGGGGCAGGGGAGGGCACTTCAGATTTTCCGTGTAAAACAAATGTTCTTATCGACCAAGCCTTAGGTTTGAAGGAGACCTCTGAATAAAGGGGAAACTGAAGTTCACTTCTTGTTATTAAAGAAATTCCCAGTTCCATAGATTTATTTTTTCAGCTGCAAGAATCTTGATTGGCAGTAGGGCAATGGCGTTAACACTCACTGAGCATTTACGAGGAAGTACACGGTTATCTTTAGTTCTCCCATGCACCACATTCTACAGGAAGAGCTCTCCCATTCAGGCCAAGGTCATGCCTACAGCCCAGTGCTAAAGCAGAATGCTACCCAGGCCTGGCCACACACACACGTCCAGGGAGAGCCTGTCCAGTCATTCCACGTGCAAGGACTAACTCGGCGTCTGGCCCGAAGGGATGCGCAGTGACACCGCGGGAACGCGGGCGGCTTCGGAGGGCTCACCCTGCAGGCCTCGCGGGGCCGTGACCTTCACTCCGCACCCCGCGGTGCTCCAAGCCACCCACCGCGCTCGGCCCCGCGTGGGTGCGAGGAGGGGGACAGGGGCCCGTCAGGGCTTCCCGGGGCCGCGGACAGGGAGGTGGACCCGGAGGGGCGGCCAGGTCCCGGCTCCAGCCAGGAGGGAGAGCGCGGATGCCCTAAGGTCAGGCAGGGCGCTCCTCCGACACCGACGGACCCCGGGGCAGTGGACGCCTCCGGGCGCTAAGTCACCTCGGAGGGAGAAGGACAAGAGGTCTCGGCGGGAGCCGGGCCGGGCCCGTTACCTGCCGGGTGGTTGTACAACGGCCTCAACTTCTCGGGCAGCATCAGCTCCACCTTATCCAGGAGCCGGTGGTAGGAGGCCCGCAGGCCTCGGGCGCCGGCGGCTGACATGTCGGCGGCCGGGTGATCGCGGGCAGCCGGCTGGGAGCGTCGCCGGGTCCTCGTCCCTGACTGACAACGAAGGGCAGCTCGTCACCGTCCCCTGCCGCTTTCCCCCAGGGTGCCCTTCCCGCGGCTCGCCTGGCCCTGGGCAAACCAGCCAGCGGCCCGCGCCCCGGGAGGGCTCAGGGGGCGGAGGCTCGGGGACGGCCCGCCCGGGTCCGCCTCCAGCCTTCCCGGCCGGGAGACCGGGGAGGAGTCCCGGCAACAGGTGCCGAAAGGGACCGCCTCCCCGAGTCCGGCCGGCGCCCCGCAGGCAGCGCGCGTGCGCAGGAGGAGAGGCCCGCTGCCATTGGCCCGCCCCGAGGTGTGGGCGGGGACCTGAAGGACCCGCCTCCTCTCCTTCCTGCCCCCGAGGCCATGTTGGAGAAGGGAAAGTGAAGCTTCACTCTCTCGCGTGACCCTTCGCCTGGGCTGTTGGAAGCCCGTAGTTAATATGGGCTTTTCGAACCTTCCTTCCCCCAACTAAAGTTGACGCCGCGCAGCTCTGGCCTCCCTTGACCTGAGACGCGTGGAGGGACCACGACGCTCAGCGGCCCGCCTCTCTCTCTCCCGCTCTTCCATCCATAGGGAATCAAGGACTTGGCTAGAGTGGCCTGAAGCCACTTTTCCAGGGTGAGGGCAGCCGTGACGTCCAGCCGCCTCAGTTCCCGGAGGTGGTCGTCCTCTCGCGAGAAGGGCTTGGCGGGGAGGGTGTCGGCCAGGGGCAGAGGGAGGAGCTGGGCCGCCTCCTCCTCCTCCCGGGGAGGGCGGCCGGGAGGGACTGTTGCTGCTCTCGGGCTGTGCGGGCGAGTGTGAGCCGGAGAGGATGAGGCGAGCTCCGGGCCCGGCGCGGCCGGCCTCCGGAGGCCGGGGCGCCGCCGCCGCCGTCTGACTCGCTGCGCCCGCGAGCTGCAGCGCGCGCATGGTGCCGGTGCGGCTCGGGTGTTGATCCGCCGGTCCCCTCCGCTCCCCTCCCCCGTCTCCTCCGGCCCGGCAGAGCCATGTCTCGGGGTGGCTCCTGCCCACACCTGTTGTGGGACGTGAGGAAAAGGTCGCTCGGGCTGGAGGACCCGTCCCGGCTGCGGAGCCGCTACCTGGGTGAGCGGGGCCCCGGGGCGGGGGCGCGCCCCCGGGGCTGATGGAGGGGACGGCGCCTCGGCAGGGCGTCCGGTGGGGCGTCCGCCTCCCCTCACCCCGCTTCCCCCGCCGGCCGCGTGCCTCCCGAGCCCCCTTTGCAAGCTGCCAGCCGCCGCCCTGCCCGGGGATTCGCTCGGAGACGGCGGCCGGGAAAGGGGTCGGGGTGGCTCGCGGCTTGGCATTGGGGAGCCAAAGTTGGCACCCTCGCTGTTGTCCATGGCCGGACACCCAAGTGTGCGTGGCTCGCCGAGGGCTTGGGGTGATCCACCGAATGCTTGGGGTGTCCCACCGAGGGCTTGGGGTGACCCACCGAGGACTTGCGGCCCCCGCCGAGGGCTTGGGGTGTCCCACCGAGGGCTTGGGGCGATCCACCGAATGCTTGGGGTGTCCCACCGAGGGCTTGGGGTGTCCCACTGAGGACTTGCGGCCCCCGCCGAGGGCTTGGTGTGTCCCACCGAGGGCTTGGGGTGTCCCACCGAGGGCTTGGGGTGTCCCACCGAGGACTTGCGGCCCCCGCCGAGGGCTTGGTGTGTCCCACCGAGGGCTTGGGGTGTCCCACCGAGGGCTTGGGGTGTCCCACCGAGGGCTTGGGGCCCCCACCGAGGACTTGCGGCCCCCGCCGAGGGCTTGGTGTGTCCCACCGAGGGCTTGGGGTGTCCCACCGAGGGCTTGGGGTGTCCCACCGAGGGCTTGCGGCCCCCGCCGAGGGCTTGGGGTGTCCCACCGAGGGCTTGGGGCGATCCACCGAATGCTTGGGGTGTCCCACCGAGGGCTTGGGGTGTCCCACCGAGGACTTGCGGCCCCCGCCGAGGGCTTGGTGTGTCCCACCGAGGGCTTGGGGTGTCCCACCGAGGGCTTGGGGTGTCCCACCGAGGGCTTGGGGCCCCCACCGAGGGCTTGCGGCCCCCGTCGAGGGCTTGGTGTGTCCCACCGAGGGCTTGGGGTGTCCCACCGAGGGCTTGCGGCCCCCGCCGAGGGCGTGGGTGTCATCCGCGCCGTGTTGACCAGACTCGGGACCTCTCGGCCCTCAGGGATCGGTCCTGAGCCCTCCCCGCCCCCGTGCCCAGCGCCTTCCGACCCTGTAAGGTCGTGTCGGGTTTCGGGTTTCGCGTTGCCGTTCGCACCCCTGGAAAACACACTCGGCATGTACTGTTTTAAGCGTTCTAAAAACAACCCGAGCGAACGCTGTCTTTGGGCTGTTTGGGACAACATGCTTGTCTGAGGATTCTGGGTCAAGCCCGAGGCCACTCCTAAGTCACAGTTCTTTTTTTTTTTTTTTTTTAATTTTTATTGGAAAAGTGGATAGACAGAGAGGAAGATCCTCTGTCCGATGATTCACACTCCAAGTGAGCGCAACGGCCGATGCTATGCCGATCCGAAGCCAGGAGCCTCTTCTGGGTCTCCCACGCGGGTGCAGGGTCCCAAGGCCTTGGGCCGTACAGTTCTTTCCCTAGTGGACCTAGTAAGGGAGTCTTTAGTTGTTTTTGTCTCTCTTCTATTTAGAGATGCTGCAGGCAACATTAGATAAGATTTTTTTCTTCCCAAATGTTGTCGCTTCTTGCTTTTTAAGAAAGTATTTGTTGTCGTTGTGTCTGAGTCGGAAAAAACAGAATAGGAGAGAGCGAAATCTCTTTACAGCCAACAGTTCTGGTTTGTTCTAGTTTGAAAGAAGTTAACGTGATATAAAAAATCTTTTCTGTTTTCCTAACATAGGAATGCATGCTCTTTGTTGAAACAAAACAACAACAAAACCCCGATAAACATGAGGCGAAATCCCTGTGATCTGTTCCGTTGCTGCTTCACGCCCCTGCCCTAAGAGGCCTTCTGTTTCCTGAGTAATCTTCAGGATGTTTTCCTTTATGTTCTGCAAGTGCGTCTGTGTGTGAAGAGGTAGAGAAGGTGCAGCTGTAGGTGACAGACCTGAACCTCCTGTGTCCCGTGGGAGCACTGCTTGGCTACTTGCTTTTTTAACACTATGTTAGAGATCCTTCCATGGCAGTAAAAATAGATCCAGTGTGTCTTTTAAGTTATTACACAGCATCTAATGGTACTTCTTACTTCTTAACAGTTTGTGGAAAATGGAATCAAAACATAATTTTGGTACAAAAAGTTTTGTGATTAAAAGCTCTGTGTCTTAGCTGTGCTTGTGGGGTGTCTTCAGCAAGTTCCTGGAAAAGGCATCTCGTGAAGAAAAAAGACCACAAATGTCAGGGTGTAACAAGCAAGCATTTTTGACAGGCACAGGCAGCCGGAGTGCCCATCTGTTGGTTCATTCCCAGGCCGGGCCAGCTGGAAGCTGGGAGTGGGACTCCAACTAGGTACACCTGGGCACAGCCGCTGGCCTGTGGGAGGCTGGCTTAGTGCTGGACGGGCCTGAGCCCAGGGTGCTCTCCTATGGACTGACCCGCTGGCCTGTGGGAGGCTGGCTTAGTGCTGGACGGGCCTGAGCCCAGGGTGCTCTCCTATGGGACTGACCAGTGCTTGAACCGCCGGGTCAAATGCGTATGGCAATGCCTTCTTTTTAAAATGTGAATTCCAACTCTGAAGATTTTCCGTAGGAAATTGTTTTCAACACTTCAACATGTAGGTGTTGTAATTGCTTTGTAGCTTGAATGAATTTCTGATGTATTTCTGTTTGCATTTCTGATAATGAATTACTGCTAAATTACAGAAAACTTGAGATGGAATGAATGGAAAGATATTGCTGGTAACACATTTAAAATTTTTTTTACCGTAGATTGCATCTCTCTGATAGTGCACATTGAGTATCCTCGTTTTTGAAATCTGAAATGTTCCAGAATGTGATACTCTTTTTGTATGTGTGCCACATTTATGTTCAGAAAGTTTTTTGTGTGGCCCAGCACGATGGCTCAGTGGCTACATCCTTACCTTGCAAGCACTGGTATCCCATATGAGCGCTGGTTCATGTCCCAGATGCTCTGCTTCCCATCCAGCTCCCTGCTTATGGCTTGGGAAAGCAGTCAAAGACGGCCCAGAGCCTTGGGACCAAACCCTGTCTGTTTCCATGTGGGAGACCTAGAAGAAGCTCCAGGCTTTGGATCAGCTCAGCTCTGGCAGTTGTTGCCATTTGAGGATTGAACTTTTCTAATTAAAATAATAAAGAAATCTTTATTTTTTTATTGGAAAGGCGGATATACAGAGAGGAGGAGAGACAGGAAGATCTTCTATCCGATTGTTTACTCCCCAAGCAGCCGCAATGGCTGGAGCTGAGCCAATCTGAAGCCAGGAGCCAGGAGTTCTACCAGGTCTCCCACATGGGTGCAGGGTCCCAAGGCTTTGGACTGTCCTCTACTGCTGTCCCAGGCCACAAGCAGGAAGCTGGATGGGAAGCAGGGCTGCCAGGATTAGATATGGGATCCCGGTGCATCCAAGGTGAGGACTTCAGCGGCTAGGCTGTCGGGCCGGGCCCTGTTCACGTTCTTTAAAATACTGATGTTGATCCAGTAAATACCCACCAAGTCTTGGCCTGAGCTTTGCAGAGCGGGTCCAGACTGTGTGTTGTTGTTGCTTAGTGCTTGCGAGTGAGTGTTACTGACTTCAGTATTTATTTGAAAGGCTGAGTTAGAGAGATCTTCCATCCTGTGTTTCTCTTCCCAAATGGTTGCAAGGACTGACTGGACCAGTTGAATCCAGGAGCCTGGGACTCCATTCTGGTCTCCCATTCCGGGAGGTGAGGAGGGAGCCAGGTAACTGGACAGTTTTTTTCCGTGTTCCCAGTCACATTAGCAGGGAGTGTGTGAGAACAGCTGGGACTGGAACTGGTGCCCACAGGAGATGCTGGTGTCACAGGCGATGGCTTTACCTGCTGTGTCACAGCACTGGCCTGAGGACTGTTGCTTTCATTTGCATTTCACCAATGATTGCTTGTGACTTTTGTCATCTGTATACATTGGTTGTGTGTTTAAGTGTATCTTTTTAATATTGGAAGGAGTTTTTATATGTTTTTGGTGCAGATTCTTACGAAGATGGGTGTTCTACAATGGTTCTCTCCCTGTTTGTGTCTTTTCCTAACAGGCTCTTTCGTAGTTAATATACATTGTGTCTTAAGAATGTTTAATCCAAGGTCATAGAATTTATAACTATTTTTCTTCTTGGAAATTTTCTGCTAACTGCTTATACTTAGGCCCATGAACAATTTTTTACTTATTGTGTGGCAGAAGGATCACATTTCATTTCTTTGCTTATGAACATGAAATTCATCTAGCACTGTTTGTGAATGGACTATCCTTTTCCATTTGTGGAAAGAATCCACTGGCCTTATATGTGTAAAACAATTTCTCAGCCACACTGCATTGATCTGGGTGTCTTCCTCAGCTGGTACAGGTCATATTTCTACAGGGAGTGTAAAAGACAGTCTGTTTCTTTGAACTTGTCTACCTGTGGTATTGCTCCTTCTCTTGTCCGTGCTGTTGTGATTATTCTGTTCCTCTCTGTTTCCACGTAGATTGGTTATTTATTTGAACGGTACAGTTAGGGAGAGACACAGATCTTCAGCTGCCAGTTTGTTCTCCAAATAGATGCCAGGACTTGAGCTGGGCCAGTCTGACACCAAGAGTCAGGAGTTTCTTCAGGGTATCCCGAGTGGGTGCAGGGGCCCAAGGGCTTGAGCCATTCTCCCCTGATTTCCCAGTTGTATCAGCAGGAAGCTGGTTGGAGAATGGAGCAGCTGGGACTTGAACTGGCAGCCTGTATGGGATGCCAGCATTGCAAGCATCAGCCTTACCTATTATACCACAGTACCAGCCCATCCTGAAATATTTTGTTTTCAGTAGCAGTTTTTTTTTTAATTTACTTGATTTTTATATATACCACTTTTATATTTTTATTTTCACTTTACTTTTTATTTGTAAGGCAGAGTTAGAGAAGGAGAGACAGAGACAGAGAGAGAGAGATCTGTCTGCCGGATTAGTTTTTGGTTCCTAACAATTTTCAGAGCTTTTGGTATTTTACATACATGATTA